CCTCAGCAATGTATTTCAGTAGATCTGCCTGTTCTGCTCCCTACTGTCTCTAGTGAATCCTCTCACCTCCCTGCACCTCTGGCCTACACCTCAGTTCTTGTATGCATAAATAAATAGATCTTAAAAAAAAAAATTGCAAACTGAGTTCATTCCTGTAAGCAGCATCAGGACTAAGAAAACAATAAAGACCTTGGAAGTTTCCCTCATGTCTCACTTCTTCAAGGAGTAGGACTTCTACAAGATTGGTTTTGCCTCCTTTTGGACTTTGTACAAATGGAATGATAGGCTGTGAACTTTCTTTGTGTCTGGCTTCTTTCACTCAACATTGTGCTTGTGAGATTCACCCGTGTTGTTTCCTGTGGCCATAACAATCCTTTAATGTTAAGTTCACCCAATTTCCTGCAGGACTAATTATTTGAAAGATTCTTGGAGACTCTAAAGTTCTGTAGATGATTTCTTCAACAGGTTATCACACTTGGTCGTTATGAAAACAATCTATTCCTAAGGATTTGTTTGGGAATTTAAATTTAGAAGACTAACATTGTTGAGTGCAAATGATCTTGGGTTGCTAGTCGGACAAGTCATTAAACTTGAACTGAATTAACTTGAATGTTTATAAATATTTCTCAGGAATAAGAGATTGAATTCCTTATCTAGATCTTTCTTTCTGGGATCTTTTTATTTTGGTATGTCTTTGCTGAGTGCTGATGATTATTTCTCCTATTTAATTCTTTTTTCCCCTTCCATATCTTATATCCAATACTGTAGACCCACCCCTTTCTTCACCTGGGAATATTTAAATATAAGACCAAACATATAGTTAGGGATGAAGTATTGGTTTTACACTTACAAGTGTTACACAGTGCCTATAATTTACTACTAGTTTTCTTAACAATTTCTTTTCTCCCTGCACTTACCTTTCTTGCCAAATGTGGCAAAGTACTTTCCACAGATATTTGTTATCTGTAGAATTTACTTTTATGCACCAAGATTGCCCATTGTAATAAAATGTAAGAAACATCAATGCAAATCAGGTTTTCCCTAATGTATTTGAACCTTTGGGTACTTTGGGGATGCTCTGAGAGGGATGAGGGGGTACAGGTATTTCCCAGTAAGCCTCAGTTGCACATACAGAGCAACTGGAATGTAAGAGTGTCTTCATTTGATGCCAGCCAGATCAGAAGCATTGTTAACAGAGCCTCTGCAACATTGTTTGAAATATAGACAGCATTCATAATAATCAATAAATGTGCATCCTTCACTAGATAGTACTTTCCTGTGCCCATTAAAATTAGCAGTGATGTTTAGTCTCCAGACCAGAAATCTCCAAAAATGATTTGAAAAATGTATCCCTAAGCAAACAGTCTGGCAGAAACCAATCACTTCTGTAGGTTTCTCTAAGTATTGCTCCAATTTCAGTTTCCTGTGATTCCCTAAAGATCCTTTTTTTTTTTTTTTAAGGATTTATTTATTTATTCATACAAGAACTGGGGTACAAGCCAGAGGTGTGGGGGGTGAGAGGATTCATCGGAGACAAAGTAGGGAGCAGAACAGGCAGATTGACTGAAATACACTGCTGTGGTGAGCAGCAGGCAAGACAGGAGAGGTCTGCCTCACCATACGGGTTTCTCCCTGGCTGGCCAGGGATTGAACTCGTGCTGCCGAGGCTGCAGATAGCTTCACAATGCTGTGCTTAACCCCTTGCACCACCAGGGAGACCCTATTTCCTAAAGATCCTATATTTTAAAGAAGGTTCATTAGACCCTGCCACTTCCAAGAAAAACTAAACTGTTTTTAATGCTTGAAATCTGCATATCTTCTCAGCTTGCAATGAAAAACAAACTGCTGAGTTCGTTCATGGAAATCAAGCCCAACTTTTTCAAGACTTGTGTCTTGTCATCTTTGCTCATCACAGAAATGGATATTATGTGATGAAAGTGCTTACTTGAACAAATATTTTTTCTAGGGTCTATATTCAGTGGTAAAGCTTAAAGAAAATTTTCTTTATTATTTTTTTCAAATTTTTTTTTAAAGATTTATTTGTTTATACAAGTACTGGGTACAGTCAGAAGCGCAGGAGGGTGAGCGAATTCACCAGAGCCAGAGCGGGGAACAGAATAGGCAGAAGGACCGAAGTACACTGCTGAGGGGAGCAGCGGGCGGCAGGAGAGGTCTGTGCGCCATGTGGGACCCTCGCAGGCAGCTGGGGAATGAACCGGCGCTGCAGAGGCTGCAGGCAGCTTCGCAGACCAGCACTCAACCGCTGCGCCACCGGGGAGGCCCGAAATTTTTTTTTTAATGCTATTTATTCCCCCTACCCTCTTTTTGAGATACCATGCCAGGTCTTGAACTTGATGTTGTAGTAAAACCAAACTGATGGACTTACCAGCATGTGCTACTGTTGCTGCATTTTGCTCTTGCTGTTGCTTCTTCTGATTGGTACTCAGTGTCAACCAGTGTGCTGTTTTCACTGGCTTATTTGTCTTCACCTTCAGGACTCCACCTAGGAGTTCCCTCCTGCAGGAATTCTGAACCTCTAGTTTCACATAATTGCCCTCTCTCTGTTCTCACTGCAACCCATGCAAATCTGTCTTAAACCTTACTGAATTATAGTGACATTAAAATTCCTTGTATCTCTCTCCTGTTAGAATATACATTCTTTGAAAGCAAATTATTTAAAAAAAAATCATTAATGATGTGACCATCCTTTTTCTTTTAAAAATCACATATTAAACTTGGATGGAATGGGAAGAGATTATGTTAAATAAGTCAGAAGGAGAAAGACAAATATTGGATGATTTCACTCAAGCGGAATATAAAGAAACTCAACAAAGGAACAGAAAAAACTAAACCAGAATAAACCCTAGATATCTGACTGAAAAATTGAGACTACCAGAGAGGGAAGAGGGAGGACAGGAGTGAAGAGGGGAGGGGGGCCCCATGGACTATGGGTGCATTGATGGTGGTGTGTTGTGGCAACACACATATAAAGAGGAGTGAACTTATATACCTAAATCATAAGCAGTGTTGTAAACCAATGTTACCTTAATTTTAAAAATAAAAATCATAAAATTGGCCTGTTTCCAAACTGTAGATTAAGTTATGCTTTTGCTTGTGTGTCTGCGTTTGTTTGTGTGTGCATGTACATGCATGCACGCTTCCCCTCCTTCCTTTATTGTTTCCTGTTACAATGAATTTTCTATTTATTTCCAAAGGGTAGGTCCTTATTTATGATGTCTACTGTCACTTTGTAGATTTGGGTTTCCAAGAGTACACCATAGGTGTTAATTTATTTCCCGTTTCAGAAAGCCATATATTACCTGTCACTGGGGATGCCTGGACTATGACCATATAGCCTAAAGTAATCATGATAATTTATGATGCTTTATGGGTCAGGTCCTGTGCTAAGAACTGTATTTGCAACAGTTCTATAAGGTAGGAACTGCAACTGTGCCTTGTTACAGATGAGGAAACAGACTCAGAGAACTTAATAACTTGCCCGGCTTCATATAAATTTTAGATATAGAACTGGGATTAAGAACCAAAGTCTAGGGCCTCCCCCGGTGGCGCAGCAATTGAGCGCTGGGCTGCAACGCTGCAAGCAGCCTCTGCAGCGCAGGTTTGATCCCCGGCTGCCGGGTGAGAGTCCCACATGGCGTGCAGACCTCTCCTGCCACGCCCACTGCTCCCCTCAGCAGTGTACTTCGGTCCTTCTGCCTGTTCTGCTCCTCACTCTGGCTCTGGTGAATTCTCTCGCCTTCCCACGCTTCTGACTATACCCAGTGCTTGTATAAATAAATAAATGAATCTTAAAAAAAACTTTAAAAAAAAGCAAAAATAAATTTCTTAAAAAAAAGAAAGAACCAAAGTCTAGGGGCATCCCTGGTGGCGCAGGGGTTAGAGACACAGTGCTATCAAGCTATTGCCAGCCACTGCAGCACAAGTTCGATCCCGGGCCGGCAAGGGAGCTGCCCGCATGGCACAGCAGACCTCTCCTGTCTTGACCGCAGTTTATTTCAGTAGGCTGCCTATTCTTGCTCAGCAGTGTATTTCAGTAGGTCTGCCTGTTCTGCACCCCACTCTCTCTGGCAAATCCTCTCACCCACCCCACCCCACCCCACACCTCTGGTCTACACCCCAGTTCTTGTCTGCATAAATAAATAAAACTTTAAAAAAAAAATCTACCTGATTCCGGAACTATGTTTTAAAAAAGCCTAACAATTGTGTATTTCAAAATAAAGTAAGCAAAGATGAATAGAAAGTTGCAAAGTAATGTATAAGAAGTCTTGTCCAAATCTTCACCCTGTCTCCCTACATTTGATGTCTAAGCAGGAAATAGTTCCGCATCCCATAGGTATGGTAAATGGAAGTCATTAATAAGTTCAGAATCTCAGTTAAAGTGACTTTTGAATAAAAACATTTTTTATACTATAAATCCCTCATTTTAATAAGCAACTTATTATTATCATAACATTGAAGACAAATGTGGTTTAGATCATTATTAACCGTTATAACAGATGCATTTTATTTTATTATTTTTTTTAATTTTTTTAAGATTTATTTATTTATTTATTTATTTATTCATACAAGCACTGGGTACAGTCAGAAGCGCGGGAGGGTGAGAGAATTCACCAGAGTCAGAGCAGGATGCAGAACAGGCAGAAGGACTGAAGTACACTGCTGAGGGGAGCAGCGGGCGGCAGAAGAGGTCTGCACGCCATGTGGGACCCTCCTCTGGTGGCCGGGGAGCAGCCGGGGATTGAACCGGCACTGCAGAGGCTGCGGGCAGCTTCGCAACCCAGCGCTCAACCGCTGCGCCACCAGGGAGGCCCCATAGATGCATTTTAGAAGGCAAATGACGTATAGACCTTTTCAGCCAAAAAAAAAAAAAAAAAAGTCACATTACATATTCTAGTGCCAGTATGCGTAAGGCAGGTTCACTGTCAATTCGAGCAGATGGATAAAGAGAGTCCTGGAGCCCTCGGTAGATTTTACAGGTCTTTAATGCTATCTCAGGTAACCAGGTACATAGGCCTGCCAGGCGGGGAGGCTGGCATAGGAGGCTAGCACAAGGTAGGCAAGGATGCCAGGGTGCCAGGAGGCTGCCAGTTGAAACTTTGAGCTTTCTCTAGCCTCTCTCTGGCATTCTCATCTCATGGTCTCGCCTCAGGGTGGTCCTCTTGTAGCCCTAGTAGTCTCTGAGCGATACCAACCTTTATCCCTGGCCTCTTGGCACAGATGCCTGCACTTACACACATGCGTGCCCATGCTCCCTAGGTCCAGGTCCATAATCTTGGGCTCATCTGCCCTGTGCCTAAGCCTCTTGGCCTCGGGCATCCTGCAGAAGAAAAGCCTGGTAACTTCATTTACCCTGCATGTATATAGATAAAATGTTTATGGTTTTACAAACTTGTCTATCTCCACCCTAAAAAATGTTCATAGACTTCAGGTTAAAAATTTCTGGTTTAGAGTAACATTTAAGGAAATGTGTTTACTTAAATAAATCTGGAAACTCTAACAATTAGTGCATTTAAAAATCTTCCCCCCCCAAAAAAAATCTTTCCCTGTTCTCCTTATAGAGATTCTCCCCAAACCTTCTTACTATATTTGTACTTAAGGTGCTGAAAGTACCTTGGATTTTCTATAGTTCTTGGTTGCTTAGAGGAAAAAAAACCCTCTGCTTCCAACATTATTGGCCCAATGAAGACAGCTTATATGGGACTGCTTTCTGTTGCACAAAAGGTCTTGGGTCAGTAATTTTCAGTTCTCTTTTCTTTTTAAGGCACCAATAAAAACTTGGGCAATTTGGCATGATGGTTCTGGAGCTAGGGTTGAGCCTGACATCTCTGAAACCTAAACGATAGGCAAATGCAGCCAGGCTCTTCTTTCAGTTTTGAATATGCTACCAGATTCCAGGAAATGGGTTTCCAGAACCAGGGCTTACCCAGTGAGTGAGTCAACAAGGCATAGGTCAGAGCTGCAATCTGGAAGGAAGACGATAGAGATATTTTTACAAGTCATGCTTATGGTCTAACCAGAAGGGTAAGGACAAATCTAAATCTGAGGAAGATTCTTGCCTTATTCATAAACTTCTTCCTGCTGAAATAAAGCTCAAGAGAAGTATTCTGTTGCCAGATTCCAGAGTTTAGCTAGTCTAGCACCTATAAGGAAGTGGTTACACCTGTAAACATGTGGGTGGAAAATAAGGGCTGGCGCTGACACTTTGGCTGTGCTCAGCTCTCCATGAGCCAAGGTCGGAAGCAAGCCAAAATGCTTTCACTGTGTATCAGCTGCCTGATTTTCTGTGATGATCTTTTTCCTATCAGAAGTTTCACAACTGCTCTAACATCTCAGTGAACTTCTTGGTGCATATTCTAGCAGGGATAAATATCAAGAAATGGAATTCTTTGGGCCTCCCCAGTGGCGCAGTGGTTGAGCGCTGGGTTGCAAAGCTGCCCACAGCTTCTGCAGCGCTGGTTCAATCTCCGGCCGCTGGGTGAGGGTCCCACATGGCACACAGACTTCTCCTGCCGCCGGCTACTCCCCTCAGCAGTGTATTTCGTCAGTCTGCCTGTTCTGCTCTCCGCTTTGACTCTGGTGAATTCTCTCACCCTCCTGTGCTTCTGACTGTACCCAGTGCTTGTATAAATAAATAAATAAATCTTAAAAAAAAAACAAATGGAATTCTCTGCTCAAAAAGTACAAACATTTACTATGTCCTTTTCTCCTTAAATTGGACATTTTTTACATGTTTGTTCAGTAGGTTAATAAACCTAACTTTCTAATTAGGTTTAATTAGTCCTTTGATTCAAATTTGTTTGTTTTTTTTTTAAAGAGTCATTCATTCATTCATTCATTCATTCATTTTAAAGATTTATTTATTTATTTTATACAAGAACCGGGGCACAGACCAGATGCGCGGGAGGGTGAGAGGATTCACCAGAGACAGAGCGGGGAACAGAACAGGCAGACTAACGAAATACATTGCTGAGGGGAGAAGCGGGCGCGATAGGAGAGGTCTGCCGCGCCATGTGGGACCCTCGCAGGCCAGCTGGGATCAAACCGGCACTGCAGAGGCTGCGGACAGCTTCACAGCGCAGCACTCAACCACCTGCGCCACCAGGGGAGGCCCAAAGATTTATTTATTTATGCATACAAGAGCTGGGGTGGAGGCCAGAGGTGTGGGGGGTGAGAGGATTCACCAGAGACAGAGTGAGGAGCAGTGGGGAAGACAGGAGAAGTCTGCTATGCTATGTGGGTCACCTCCCAGGTCGCCGGAATCGAACTCGTGCTGCAGTGGCTGGCGATAGCTTCTTAGCACTGTCTTTAACCCCTGCGCCACCAAGGATGCACGGATTCAAATTTGTGGCAGAAATGTGCAAGTAGATATCTTTGTCTTTATTTTAGTGTATCTTTATAATTTTCTTCTTTTTTATTTATTTATTTATTTATTTATTTTTAAAGATTTATTTATTTATACAAGCACTGGGTACAGTCAGAAGCGCAGGAGGGTGAGAGAGTTCACCAGAGCCAGAGTGGGGAACAGAGCAGGCAAAGGACCAAAGTACACTGCTGAGGGGAGCAGCAGGCCGCAGGAGAGGTCTGCGCGCCATGTGGGACCCTCCTCTGGTGGCCGGGGAGCAGCCGGGGATCGAACCAGTGCTGCAGAGGCTGCGGGCAGCTTCGCAACCCAGCGCTCAACCGCTGCGCCACCGGGGAGGCCCCAATTTTCTTCTTTTTTAAAAGATTTATTTGTTTATGCATACAAGAACTGGGGTACAGGCTAGATGCACGGGAGGGTGAGAGGATTCACCAGAGACAGAGTGGGGAACAGAACAGGCAGACTGACAGAAATACACTGCTGAGGGGAGCAGTGAGTGAGACAGGAGAGGTCTGCCGTGCCATGTGGGATTCTCGCCGGCCAGACGTGATGCAGGGCTGTGGACAGTTCCAGAGCACTGCGCTCAACCACCTGTGCCACCAGGGGAGACCCATCTTCATAATTTTCTTTATAATTTATTAGCTTTAATCATAGAAAGTCATTTCTCATATATGTAATTACTGTGAAAAAAAATTGAGTAGACCCATGCATTAAAATAAAATGGGGTCCAAGTTATACTGCCAGAGTAAAAAAAGTAGTAACCTGCAAAACTATGTTTTTTTCTTGTTTTTTTAACTTTGCAAAACTGTTTTAATTATGATCCCATCTCTATATAAATGGATTTTATATATATATGTGTATACAAACAAATGTGTTTGCATGTATATACACTATATTCACTAATTGTTTTTTTTTTAAAAAGATTTATTTATTTATGCATACAAGAGCTAGGGCACAGGCCAGAGGTGTAGGGGTGAGAGGATTCACCAGAGATAGAGTGGGGAATTGAGCAGGCGGATTGACTGAAATACAGTCCTGAGGGGGCCTCCCCTGGTGGCACAGCGCTTGAACGCTGGGTTGTGAGGCTGCCCGCAGCCTCTGCAGCGCCAGTTCTATCCCCGGCCACCGGCGAGGGTCCCACAAAAAAAAAAATAAAGTCCTGAGGGGAGCAGTGGGCGAGACAGGAGAGGTCTGCTGCGCCATGTGGGCTGCTCCCTAGCTGGGGATCGAGCTCATGCTGAAGTGGCTGCGGCTAGCTTCATAGGTTGTGACTTAACCCCTTGCACCACCGGGAAGGCCCTCACTAATTATTTTTGAATGTCATCCTTGTGGGAACGATACAATTTTGAACAAAACAGACAAAATCTGAGGTCTTCAAATATATAATGTCAGGTAGGAAGGTAAGTGCTGTGAACACTAGTAGAGCAGGGTAAGAGATGGAGAGTGAGTGAGACACCTTTGAATTTAGTGGTCAGAAAAGGCCTTTCTTGGGGCCTCCCCTGGTGGCGCAGTGGTTGAGCGCTGGGCTCTGCAGCGCTGGTTCAATCCCCAGCCTCTGGCGAGGGTCCCACATGGCACGCAGACCTCTCCTGCCGCCCATTGCTCCCCTCAGCAGTGTATTTCGTCAGTCTGCCTGTTCTGCTCCCTGCTCTGGCTCTGGTGAATCCTCTCACCCTCCCGCGCTTCTGACTGTACCCAGTGCTTGTATAAATAAATAAATAAATAAATAAATAAATAAATAAATAAATAAATAAATAAAATTTTAAAAAATAAACCTTTTAAAAATTAAATAAATATTTATTTATTTATACAAGCACTGGGTACAGTCAGAAGCGCGGGAGGGTGAGAGAATTCACCAGAGCCAGAGCAGGGAGCAGAGCAGGCAGAAGGACCAAAGTACACTGATGAGGGGAGCAGCAGGCGGCAGGAGAGGTCTGCGCGCCATGCGGGACCCTCCTCCGGTGGCCGGGGAGTAGCCAGGGATCAACCCGGCGCTGCAGAGGTTGCGGGCAGCTTCGCAACCCAGGGCTCAACTGCTTTGCCACCGGGGAGGCCCAATAAATAAATCTTTAAAGAAAAAAAAGAAAAGGCCTTTCTTAGGTTGCATTAGATCACAGTATTAAATGAAGTAACTAGTATTTTGTTTTATATAAGCATAGATAAAGGATAGGTGGAAAAACATTTACCAAAATTCTGTATTCCCCTTCTCAGTGAATTAATATTAACTGTGACTCTGGTCACTCAGACAAAACTGCAAAACATCCTGAGACTTCACCCTTCATTTCCAGTTAAACTTCACATTTTTGCCACCTATATAATTCTCAAATTTCTTTTCTCCTTGCCACTGTCTTCCAGGCCCTTTTTTTCATTATTTGAAAAGATATATTAGTTCATTTTTATGTGCCAAATATAAAATTGAAATGTATAATGCATGAGATTTGGATTGGTGGGGTTTCTGCTGGCCAAATTGGGGACAGTATAAACATGAAAATAAATATTGATAGTAATGGATTATAAAATAGGAATTCACAAATTCATAATGGAAGTCAGCTATGCTCACCACTATACTATCACCAATGCCTCAAATTCATACCGATATAAATAGCTGAATTTTATTTTATTTTTTATTTATTTATTTATTTTATTTGTTTTATTTATTTATTTATTTTATTTATACATGCACTGGGTACAGTCAGAAGCGCGGGAGAGTGAGAGAATTCACCAGAGCCAGAGCGGGGAGCAGAGCAGGCAGAAGGACCAAAGTACACTGCTGAGGGGAGCAGCGGGCGGCAGGAGAGGTCTGCGGCCATGTGGGACCCTCCTCCGGTGGCTGGGGAGCAGCCGGGGATCGAACCAGCGCCGCAGAGGGCACGGGCAGCTTCGCAACCCAGCGCTCAACCGCTGCGCCACCGGGGAGGCCCAAATAGCTGAATTTTAAAATGAGAAAGAAGGTATACCTTATAATAGAATCACAGTGAGTAAACATGAAAAGAATGATGAAATTAGAAAAATCACAATAACAAAGATTGATGTATGTTAATATTCATCAATAGATATTAAAACTAGTATGATAAAAATAAAATGATATATGTACAAAGTTCCAAAGTACAGTTCCACACAAGATATTTATAATTACAAGTAGCAACTCTACAGTGGAGAATCCTGGTAAACACTATTAACCAAGTGATGAAAGCTAATATCACCAGTAACAGGATAAATGGACATCACATGCCTCTTGAGATGATGCACTGAGGAGGAAAGAACAGTACTTCTCTGGTGTTTTTGCCAAAAATACATAACCTAGATCTAATTATAAGGAAATATTAGAGGTTACCAAATTCAGGAGTATTCTTCAAAATAGTTGTCCCATAGTCTTTAAAAATACCATGGTCATGAGAGAAAAAGACTGAGGAATGATTTTGGACAGTAGAAGACTAAGGTGACATAATAAATAAAATTAATTTGTAATCCTGAATTATATCCTGGACCAGAAAATATTCTTTTCTTTTGCTATAAAGGATATTAGGTGGACAATAATGAAATTAGAATGTCTGTGGGTTATAATATTGTGTAAATGTTAATTCTTCATCTTAATACTTGTACTGTAGTTGTCTAAGAGAATGTCTTTGTCCTTTACGAAATACACATCGTAGCATTTAGGGGTAAAGGGATGGACATCATATGGAAAAACTTAAAGTCTCTTCTAGATGCTTTTTTATGAATGTGGTAACATGGTAATTACCAGTTATCTCAGCAAATTCCATAAAGTACAGAAATGCACAGTCCACACAGTCTATAGGCACTAAAACAACAGACAGTTTCAATTAAAAAATCCAGACTACTTACATTCTCACTCAGTTCTCTCTGAACAATTACTGAACCAAAGAAGAAACCTAACCTGTATTTCCAAACTAGTTTTTTAAATTAAAAAAAAATTATTTATGTATACAAGAACTTGTGGTATAGGCCAGAGGTGTGGGGGGTAAGAGGATTCACCAGAGACAGAGTAGGGAGCAGAACAGGCAGACTGACTGAAATACACTGCTGAGGGGAGCAGAGGGCAAACACAAGACTGCGACATGTGGGTGGCTCCCTGGTGGGGGATTGAACTCCATACTGCAATCGCTGCAGATCACTTCACAGGTTGTGTCTTAACCCCTTTTGCCACCAGGGAGGCCCCTTTCCAAACTATTTAGAATATAGTAGCAGTGAATAAAATCTATGGGATGATACCTAAATTATAGGCAAGGGGAAAAAAACAATCTTAACTTCACTCCGATTATTATTAATCAAGGGATAACACGTCTAACTATAGATCAGATATAAGAATAAAGAAATCATATACTGTTCTAGAATTAGACATCCACAACAAAGACTGCGTCCTCCTCTGTACTTTCATAGTGCTCCATTGTTGCATCGGGCACCACACTGATAAAAAAAAAACAGGAGTTGTGGAGCAGGTTACATAATACAGGATGCTGAAGACCCACAATCCATCAAGCTATTGAATTATAAATTCAAAATTCAATGTTAAGAAGTACAAAGTTCTACATTATCTGTATTATAGTATCACTTAGCCATATCCTTTATTGTCTGTCTCCCCCACTTTCTCTGATTCTTCATCTTTTTCTCTACTTTCCCTGTCTTTTTCTGAGAATCCTGTAAACTATTATTAATTGGATAGTGTGCTTGACAACTCAGATTGCATTTGACTTCTATTTTTAAAATAATCTAAAATAGAACCTAGGAGATATGATACATACAAAATAAATAACTACAGATTACTGTTTAAACAAGCTAGTAGACTAATTAAACAGTATTAGGATAATTGAAATTCTAAGAAGGGTAGTTAGTATAAGGGAAAGTCATACCTAACTAAAATTTTAGAGTGTATGAGTGCGATATTTCACTTGGAGGTATCACTAGATGTGATTTGCTTATTTGTAGACTTCTGATAAAGGTTTACATCCAAGGCCCACTTGGGGTAGGAATTGACTGGAGTGTCAAAGGAAGAACAGGGGTGGTATAAGAGAAAAAGTGGTAAGAAAAGAGGTGGAAATAGGGCCTCCCTGGTGGAGCAAGGGGTTGGGATGCAGCCTATGAAGCTGTCTGCAACCTCTGTAGAACGAATTTGATCCCCAGCCGGCCAGGGTGATACCCACCTGGCGCAGCAGACCTCTCCTGACTCGCCCACTGCTCCCCTCAGCAGTGTACTTCCATCAGTCTGCCTGTTCTGTTCCCCACTCTGTCTCTGGTGAATCCTTTTACCCCCCACACCTCTGGCCTGTGCCCCAGCTGGTGTATGCATAAATAAATAAATCTTAAAAAAAAAAAAAAAAGAGGTGGAAATAATAGCATAAAGACTTGGAATTTTATGTGTTGCTTTTGGGCGTTTTGAGATCATTTGATTTGTAGCTTCAGGACCTGGTCCCTATGAGAACAGAATATTGTAGAATAAGAATGGGAGCATCAATTCCAAGAAGAAGGCTATAACAGTAAGTGATGGTGATATGGACTATGATAATAGCAGTAATAATGGTGAAAGTGTTAGAGTGAATGTTAAAGGTAGAGGGAATAGTATTTACTGATGCCTGGCAGCTGGTGTGAGAAGAAAGTCAAAGATAACTTAAAGGTTCTTGGCTTGAGCCACTGAATGAATAACTGATCTTCTTGCCTAATAGTGTAGTGGGGTGGGGGTACTGCATGAAGGTGGTTTGGAAGGCAGGGAGATTAAACTACTGCAATTATGCTGGCAAGGTGAAGAAGACCTGAACCTGAACAGAGACTATGAGTATGGAGAGACTTTCAAAGGGCACAGATGTGAGAGGTATTTAGGAAGTAAAAATCACAGCTTAGAAAAATGGTTTAGGATTTTTTATTAAAATTGAAGACAGCTAAATCTTTTTTTGCCTCTGTAACTCCACTTATTAGGATATACTCTAGAGCAGGCTTTGTCCAAGGCCTGTTTTTGTACCCCTCTAAAATAAAACTTACAATTTTTAAATGATTAAAACGTGTGTGTTGGGGGGGGAGATATACAATAGAGGACTGTGACCCTCACAAGCTAAAATACTTATCATCCAGTCCTTAACAAATGTGAGGTTCTTAAGAGCAGTAGCCAAAGCTTCTGGGAACTTGTTAGAAATGCAAATTATCAGGTTAACTGCTTCAACCAGTCTTGCTGAAGCAGAAACTCTGGGAATGTGGCCCAGCAATCTGTGTTTTCACCAATTCTCCAGGTGATTCTGGTGCAAGTTAGAGAAACTTTTATACCAGGATACATTGTGAAGCTTAACAGCCTGAATTTGAGCCCAGAACTGGAAACAATTGAAATGTTAATCACCAGTAATTAATTGTGACCATTAATACATTGAGGGTGTTCTACAGTTTGTGGTTAAGGGCATAGAGTGTGTAGGTAGACAGTTTAAATCCCACCTCCATGCAATAGTAGGTCAGTGACCTTGGGCAAATATCTTCACCTCTTAAACACAAGTCTCCTCATCTGTAAAATGGGCATAAAAAGAGTAACTACTTTAAGGTTATTCTGAGGCTTGAACAATTATATAACTAGGAGAATACCTATTACATAAGTATTAGATTTAAAGGGCAACGGGCATTTTAGGCATGGTGATGCTTTAAGGAAGAAACAATAGCTTTTAATAAAAGCAATAGTTTGCCCATATATTTTGTGTATAACAAAACGATATAATTATCACATATTTATACTGTTATCTATTTTTTACCTAAAAATGTTTTGACACAAGTAACCAAAGGTAAAAAATGTAGATTTGGGAGGTTCCTACGTTGGACTTGCTTTCGTAAACTTCAATTTTCACTTGTGAAAAATACCTTGCTCTAGGATAGGGAAAACTGATGAAATGTGTGTACCCCTGTTATGTCGGCAACGTGAGCATTCAATAAATGTGTTCTCTTTCCTAATTGCCCCTTTCTTTCCCTATTTCCTCGCCTTTCCCTCCCAAAACTCCCCTGCTGTCTTGATAGTCTCTGAGAAACATTGGCAGAACTAAGGTGCAAAGTGGCTCTCTAAGATCTGGCTTTTTCCATGAATCAAGGTCAAGTTTGGGCCTAGATCTAGGGCAGGGCTGTAACCCTGATATCTTCTGGGATTTCAGCCTTGTAGCGGCCTTAGTATGTAAAATGCCTATTGTTAATAATGCCTAATACAAGACACAGAGAGATTATTTTTCCTTCTGTGGAGTCCACGTCATATTTTTTCCACACCCCAGGACCTAGCATCCAGGTCCCGTAACGTATATAGCTTGGAGCTGTTAGTATAAATTTGACCTCCCCGTGGAGCTAAAGACCTACACTTCCCAGGGTGGTTAAAACACTATAGGTGAATTTAGGGTACAAACGGCTGAAACCATTGGCTGCATTTTATGCTTCAACCTGCAGGCACCTAGTTCCGAGAGGAAAAGTACCAAGTTAACATACTCAGAAGGGACCGGAAATACTTGTCTCCGAAAGCGAACCGGGTCCTGCTCCGGCACGATCTCGAAGGACAGTGAGGCCGGAGCCCGGGGCAGGAGAAAAGCAGCCTCCTTGTGACGTCAAATCAGCGGCCTCTCGCCCCGGCTGCGGGCCGGTTCCGGTTCCTCGGCTTTCCGGGCGCCAGTATGCGCGCGCGGGGCGTTCTGCGCGTGCTCCGCAGAGGGACGCGAGGAGGTTGGCTCCAGCTCGCGAAGGAGATGCCTGATTGGCTGGCCCCGTGCTGGGGGGGTTCCCCAGGCCTTTCGGCAGGGGTAAAACAATAAGAGGGGGCGGCGGCAAAGGGGGCGGGACGTCCGTGTTCCCTGTCGCTCGCCGCAGCGCTTGGCGCCCGGGAAGAGGTGGTTGTAAGGGGAACGAGCTCGCGGCTTTCCGGCTCCCGAGGCTTCAGGCTTGTCGGAGGGAGGAGGCGGCCCACGAGAAGAATCCGCTGCGGCCGGCCCTCGGCGACTCCTGCTGACCTCCGCGCGACGTACCCGCCGCCGCTGTTGGTTGGAGGTGTGTACGGGGCCGGGAGGGGCGGTCGGTGTGGTGGTCGGAAGGGGACATTCCCCTGGCGAGGCAACCGTCCTGTGGCGAGCCCCGGGGCCGGGCTGTAGCGGCCGGGCGACTTTGTTCTCGCCGGCCGTGTGCGCTGCCGTGCGTGCGGGAGAGCCGCGGCGCCTTTCCGCTCAGGTGAGGGATGCGAGGCCGCGTGGGGCGGGAGGTGGCCGGCGCGTGTGGTGCGATCGGAGCGTTCCGAGGGCACAGGTGGGGCCAGGCTTCGCGGGGACGAGGTGGCGAGCTCGGAAAGGGGAAGCAGCAATTCCCGGGGAGCGCCGAGGGAGGGTGAGTGCGGGGCGCGGGGGAGCGGGCCTTCCGGCGAGCGCGTTCTGCGGCGGCCAGCCCGGGCTCCGGCCCCGCTGCGGCTCTCGTTCCCGGTCCCGCGGAGCCGGAGGCCGTCGCCGCCCCGCCCGTGGGGGAGGGGAGGGAGGCAGAGTCGGCGGAGGCAGAAGCGACGCAGATGCGAAAGTAGCGGCCTCCGGGCACCATTTCTGTGCGCGGAAACAGAGCCCGGGCTTGAGGCAGCCGCCGCTCTGCTGGCTCAGGCTCTAGGGTGCCGCGGTCTTCACCCCGTCGGGTTCCTCCCCAAACGCGTTCGCAAATCCGGGCCGTACAGAACGTGTCTTCTGGGTGCCCATTTTTATGCAGAACGGCCCCTTGTTGACCCAGAAAAAGGCTTTAGGGAAAGGGCTTCTTCCCCTGAGGAAGTAGCTCGGAGGGTCGGAGTGGGGGGCAACACTAGCTTCTCTAGAACGTGTTGATTTTTGTCCGTGGAATCTGATAGAATTTTACCTGCGTCTCTGAAAGGAGATTTCTTAAGATGGCCCTGTGCCGCGTTGGGGCGAATATAGATTTGCCGCTACAGTTTTCCGCATAGATCATTCTCCCATCCACCACACACACACACACCCCCCCCCGCCCCCACCAGGTATAACTAATTTCTTACCGGGTTATTTTGGAGGGAGGCGCCCTGCTCTCTTTCAACAACAGCAACAAGAAAAAACAAAACAAAACAAAAGCACCCAAGCTGGAATAATAGTGAAGTTCCTCCTTTCCCCGCAGTGTGATTGTTGTGATACTAACGTGTTAAAATATTGGTTTTTAGGTTCAAGGCTCCATATTTCGTGCAAGTCTTCCAAATACTAGCATTCCATGTACCTGGGTCTGTGAACCATTAACTTGAGTTAGGGAGCCCACTGAGCTTAGAGGGGAAGAAGATGGAAATTTCTTCCCCAGCTCCATATTTGGCAGTTAATGTAGCCCTAGGCAAGTGAACAAAGTTTCTCAGTAAACGTTTGGCTTTGTTAATATCTAGTGGTCCTTTTGATGTCCAAAATGGCCTGATTTCACAGAGAGAAGATGACCAGCCACCAGAGGTGGGGTGTTGGGGCTGCATCAATTTTGCCCTGCAGCTTTTGCCTCTGGGGTTCCTTTTTCCCCCTAGTTTTACTCACAGGTAGAGTAGCTTTCAAGTTAAAAAAAAAATCCTGGTCTTAAAAAAGACGGTGCGATCAGTTTGAACTTCTTAGAACTAAAGTGTGTGTGTGTTTTGATGTTGCTGTGCTGTTTAGTTAAATTTTTAGGATTAGCCCTGTGTCTCCTTATGCTGTGATTTAATCTCAGGGTTAATTCTGAAAAGATGATCAAGGAACTGTAGGGAGGATAATGACTACATTTGGATTGTTTATTGTTTCAGAGCTGTATTGGTTCAGGTTGTTTAATATTCTTGGTTGAAAATAGTAAAAGGTGAATGAGTATTAGCAGTGGAGAGAAAGGAAAACTTGTGGCGTAGATGGGTAGATAGGGATCAAAAGTAGAAGGTGAAGAAAGTTTTTGATAATTTTCTTCAATTTTTTTGATAATTTTAATGTTGAATTGTGTCTTCACTTAGCAGCTGAAGAGTTGAATTGGCAGCAGACAACTTTGCGTTGACTTTGGTAGCCGAAAATATTCATTATCCATTTTATGAGATAGAAAAAGGAAATTTATATTACAGTTACTGAAAATTTGTAAGTGCTAATAGTTTCTTTAGATTCTAAAGTTTTATTTTCTTATCCTGAAGGATTAGAACTATTGGTTTCCCCATTATCAAGATTGAAAACTATTTTCTAGGTTGCTTTTACCCACATAATGCTGCATGTGGTATGAAGATTTGGAATAACCCCAGGTGTTTCAAGGCTGATTTCATAGATACAAACTTAAGGGTGGTTTGAATTTAATTAGATACAAAGCTGACTTAAGTTACTATTTACTGGTAGACATTTGCTAAAGAACCAATAGAAAAAAATTGGTTCTTTTCCCAGCACTCTGACATGGCTTCAGAGAAGTAGAATCATATTCTTCACTTGCTGTCCCTCAGATTTTTAGTTTTTAATTTGTGTGTATTACCCTATTTTAATAAACCACTGTAGCTATGATTGGATTTCCTATTATGTTACTGTCCTTTGCTTTTTTAAGGTTCATCCCAACAGTGTCAAGTAAACTAACTGTTGGATTTAAATTTTTTTTTTTTTTTTTTTCCAAGTGGTTGGTCTTTACTAGGTGTGATGAGCATCACTAGAGGCAGGAGACCTGTATTCAAATCCTCTCTCTCACAACTACATAACTGAGGGACTTTGAAATCCTTTCCTCCAGCTTTCCAAACATCGGTTTTCTTTTTCATATAGAAGCTATAGCTTATCTCTTTCAAGGAGATGAAGGAATGTGTAGGTAGGTTACTTGTTAACTTTTCAAGCATAATATAAACAGATGTTTTTATTTTTGTGGGATGGCATTTCCTTTTCTAATGCATGATCACTTTTAGTAGCTCCTGAACTTTAAAAGTTGCCTCGTTACTTTTGGGGCATGAGGGGGAAACAAAAGACTTAATTCACAATTACCTGGTATCATTTATTTCTATCGTTAAGTCGTCTTTGTGACACTTTAATTCATGCCAGAACAAAATGAAGGTGTCTCTGCTCCAGAAAGATGTGCAATTCTATTTTGATTGATAGTCATTTTAAACAAAGATCATCTGGAATTTAGAAACTTCTGCTTTTATCATAAGGTGAGCAGCAGAGAATATGATACTACCACTAGTCAGTGAGAAAGGCCTTGAACCTGACTTGTGCCAGCCCAACTGTGAGTGAGGGGCTCAGTAGGGGAAAGGAATAGGTGTCCAATAATAGATACTCTGTCCTTCATAGATAGGACCTTGGTAAGAATTTCTTTCTGGCAAAGAGACTGCATCCTGTTACTAGAGATCTTTTTATAAGAAGCAATATACAATACAGTTCTGAAAAATTAATTTTACAGATTTTTTTTTTCTAAATGTCATTTTCTTTTGGTTTCTTTACTTTTTTTAAAGTCATGAATCATTTATTAACTAAACAGTATATGTCAGGAGATCACTAAAAGGGAACAAATACTACAAAGTACAATTTTGGGGGGGATGGGGGAAGCCTGTAAGTCAGGAGCAAAATATACATAACATGAGAGGAGTGTTTGATTTTGACCAATAATGCATTCCTTATCTTTACAATTAACCTAAATGTCAGGTAAAACAAAACTATACAATGGTCTAACTTTGATGCTTAAAAAAAAAAAAAAGCAACAACATTCTAGAACACTTAAGTTTTAAGATAAGATTCACATATTTGTGATGTATCTTCTTAGTCTCTTAATATCTTGAATAGCTGGTACTGGTGAGCGGTAGTGTCCGAAAATTCTAAAATTACTGATCTTCAAAATAAAATAATTTCATTTTTTTTTTTTTAAGATGTTTTATTTATACAAGAACCAGGGTACAGGCCAGAGGTGTGGGCTGTGAGAGGATTCACCAGAGACAGAGCAGGGAACAGAACAGGCAGACTGACCAAAATACACTGCTAAGGGGAGCAGTGGGCGAGACAGGAGATGTCTGCCACGCCATGTGGGTTGCTCCGTGGCCAGTGGGGATTGAACCGGCACTGCAGAGCCTGCGGACAGCTTCACATCATTGTGCTCAACCACCTGCACCACCAGGGAGGCCCATCATTTGTGAGTTTTTAATAAACTGAGATGAAAGTAAAATCACCCCCTGCCCCAGGAACAAAGAGCTCTTATTAAAGTATAGAACTCATGGGCTTCCCTGGTGGCGCAAGGAGCTAAGTCTTAGCACTATGAAACTATCCACAGCCACTGCAGCATGAGTTCCATCCTTGGCCAGGGAGCTAACCCGCATGGCACAGCAGACCTCTCCTGCTGCCCCACTGCTCCCCTCAGCAGTGTTTTTCAGTCATTCTACCTGTCTTCTCCCTACTGTCTCTAGTGAATCCTCTCACCTTCCTGTACCTCTGGCCTACTCCCCAGCTCTTGTATGCATAAATAAATAAATCTTTAAAAAAAAAATAAAGAACTCAAGTCTTTCTATGCTAAAGAACATTTCTTACTAACATTTCTGTTACTATAATAAATGCTCCAGAATAATCTTCAATATACTCCTGCAAAGATTACACTGTTTATCAATAACAAAGGCAAAACAAAAAAAAGAAAAGATACTTAAAAATTTCAAGCTAAAACATGCACAGAAGCATGTCATAGCAGTATTTTTGAAATAATCTTTAC